GAGACTCAAGGCACAGCAGCAACAGCAAGAATCACTGGGACGTGATGAACGGCTGCCGCACTCACCCCTCAAGAGGGAACGAAGCAGAAACAGTAGCGGCTCTGCGTCCCAGAACCTCCTAAAGGGTTCGGCCGCTCTACAAAATGGCGTCTCCACCGACCGTCTTCTCCTACCCACAGTACCGCGCGCCTGGACCCTCTCCACCCCCACCCCACCCGCCTCTTCAGAGGCATCCAATCGGCAAAGGCGCATGTCTGCGCGATGGCTGCCGGGAAGTGTGGTCTCCCAGGCAGCCTGTCACTCGACCCCGTGTTAATTTTTTTTTTTTTTTGCATATTTCATCTACTCCTTGACAAAGCTGCCATTCAGCCTCTGAGGACCCGGATGTAAACCCTACAAGTGCCTGACACACTGTAAAACATGTAAATCCCGCTTCTAGAGAAGGAATGCTAACGATTACCTTTCTGGAGACTAGGTGGTACACGCCTGTAATTGCACTCCAGATAATGAAGCAGAACTGACAGGAGTTTAAAGTCATTTTAGACAACTTCATTCTAATCCCTCCTCTCTCTCTCTCCTATTGTCCTAGGGCAAGACATTAATTTCTGTTTTACAAACACACAGAGCTAACAATTGTAAACTGGAAGTTTCTACCATGAATGATGCAAGATGCCAAGAATTCAGAAGTCACTGGGTTTACTGGCCACTACCAGTGATCTTAAAGTACTTTATATTTAGAGCTAGGGCTCCATGTGGCCCAGGCTTGAACTCACTATGAAACTAAGGATGAACTTGAGCTCTCTATTCTCTTGTCTCTACTTCCCAAGTGCTGGGACTATATGCTTGCACCACCATGTCCGGTTTAATCAATAAGTTTTTTCTTTTAAGCGATTTTATTTTTGAGGTGTGAAGTCTGGAAAGATGGCACACTGGTTGAGAGACAGGGATGCTCTTCTAGAGCTGGGTTTGGTTCTAGTCTACAAGGGCACCTACAAGGTACACATTTTCACACATAGATACACGTAACTATCTTTTTTAAAAAAAAGATTTAACTTTTTTGATGTGATTTATATGGGCTTTTTTTCTTTGCTTGCACATATTTCTATGCACTTAAAAAAAAGTTTATTTTTAAGTGTTCTGCCCAGAAAAAGGCAACAGATCTCATTATAGATGGCTGTGAGCTACCATGTGGTTACTGGGAATTGAACTCATAACTTCTTGAAGAGTAGCCATTGTTCTTAACCTTTGAGACATCTCTCCAGCACTCTCTATGTACCACTTTGTGCCAGGTACTTAAAGAGGCCAGAAAACTGCATTGAGATCCATTGGATCTGGAGTTATAGGCAGCTATGAGCTGCCTGAAGTAGATGCTGGAAACCTGTCCCGGGTCCTCTGGAAGAGCAGCAAGCACAAGTGCTTTTAACCATGGGAGGAGGAAGGAGAACTCCCTCAGTAAATTCTTTAAAGCATCCCCCAAATGTTTACTGGACCCATGAAAGTTAAATGGTTGGTTTTTTCCCCTTTCCTTTCCTTTCCCTTTCATTCTTTCTTTCCTTCCTTCCTTTCTTTCTTTGAGACAGTGTCTCACTATGTACATAGCTCTGGAATCCTAGGAACCACTGGCCTCTGCTTCCTGAGTACTCACTGGGATTAAAGGTGTAAACCACCACTCCTGGCTGCCAATTCGCTTTAAAAACTAAAAGCTCTCCTACCCCCAGATGAGTCCATCCAGAGATAAATGCCATCCTCTCAGTTGTTGTCAGGTTCCATGTCCTGTGGAGTTGAAGAATTATATCCCCCAAGCTATCTGGTAGCTGAAGTACCAATGACAATGGAGGTTGCTTTTTTTTTTTTTTTAAACTTCATGTCCATTGATTTTGCCTGTATGAGGATGAGGGTGTTGGATCCCTTGGAACTTGAGTTACAGTTGTGAGCTGCCATGTGGAAGCTGGGACTTGAACCCAGGGTTCTCCAAGAACAGTCAATGTCCTTAACCACTGAGCCATCTCTCCAGTCCCCATGAACACAATTTTAATAAAATACAGTCCTTTATTTTTTATTTTAAAAATTTTTTAAAGTTGGGTCAGGGGAGCTGGAGAGATGGCTCAGAGGTTAAAAGTGCTTGCTGCTCTGAGAAGATCTAAATTTGGTTTCCAGCACTCACATCACGCAGCTCACAAGTCTATAACATCAACTCCAGAGACTCCATATCCTCTCTCTGTTCTCTAAATGCACCCCCCCCCCACAGAGGCAAATAAACATAGTAATACTAACCAGAAACAAAAATAAAAACTTGGACAAGTGAGATAGTTCATTGGGTTAAAGTGCACTTGTCACCAAGCCATCCTGAGTGCTGGGATTAAAGACCTGTTCAAGGGTTTTTGTTATTTATTTGAGACAGTGTTTCTCTGTGTAACAGATCTGATTTTCCTAAAACTTACTTTCTAGATCAGGCTGGCCTTGAACTCAGAGATCCAACTGCCTCTGCCTCCAGAGTGCTGGGATTGAAAACATGTGGCACCACCACCTGACAAGGTGAGTTTTTAACCACAAGACCTACATGGTCTAAGAAAGAGGTTGGATTACTACAGGTTGTCCTCTGTCTATATGCCCACATACATATACACTGGTTTAACTTCAGCATCCCCTGAAATACACACAAAATGAATGTTTAATGTATATATGTGTATTATCTACATGTACAACTTTATGCCAGCAGAGGATATTAGATTCTAGTATTCTGTGAGCCACCATGGGGTTGCTGGGAACTGAACTCAGGACCTCCAGAAGAACAACCAATGCTCTTAACTGTGATCCATTTCTCCAGGCCCCAAAATTCATGTTTTAAAAAATGAAAGTTGCCAGGGAATTTGATTGCCTGTAATCTCAGTTCCCAGAGAAGTATCAGGAGTCCAAGGTTGTCCTTAATTAACCTGGGGTACATTAAGACTCTCTCAAAGCAAAAACTTCTTTCACTGTATTTTCTATTGCATTAGTTCCAAAACTGGGACAAAAGTCTTTTCATTTTTTGCCAGATAGTGGAAGAGTGTTTTTGTTTTGTTTTGTTTTGTTTTTTTTTGTTTTGTTTTTGTTTTTAACAGACTCATGAAAATCATTTCACTGGGGTGGATCTTTTGAAACAGGGTTTTTCTTTCTAATTCAGGCTGACCTCAAATTCTTCATAATCCTTCTATCTCTGCCTCCCTGCTGGAGGGTTGGGATTTATACTGGTGTAACAAGGATTCTGGAGATAGCTCAGTGGTGAAGAGCATTTGCTTTTTAGTTCCTACACCCACATGGTGACTCACAACCATCTGTAGCACTTTCTACGGCATCCTTGGACACTAGCATGATAAACATACACACGTGTAGGCACTTCCATATAAACATAAAGATAACTCTTTAGGACTGGGTATGTCATAATGGCACATGGTTTTAATCCCAGCACTTAGTGATCTCTATGAGTTTGAGGTCAGCTTGGTCTACAAAGCAAGTTCTCAGAGCTACCTAGTTTCAAAAAACAACAAACAATATAAAAAAATACAGACTTATGTAAAAACTCTTGTATATACCCCCAAAACAAAAAAATTAAAAAAAAACCTCAAAAACTAAGTTAACTAATCAGAGGTGAGTTTTGATGAGTTAGAGAGAGAAAATGACAGAATAACCCACAAGTATTTTCTGTGATTCTAACAATTATTCTAAGTCCTTTTTTGACATTGATAAAAGGCCTCAGGAAGTTTCCTATAAGACATCACTTTTTATATCCATTCAATACTTTCATCAGTATTCAATGTGTTTTTTCCTTTTTGTGGAAAGATTGTTTCAATTCAACTACATTATCAAATATGATTAAAGAAATATAATAATAAGAAAAAATTAAAATTAAATTGGGTCAGGTGTGATATTGCAGATTTTTAATTCTAGCACTTGGGATGCTAGAAAAGCTTGAATGTTCAGCATTTAAACACATTCCAGCACCGTGCTTTAAACACATTAAAGGCAGGTTTTAAAAACAAATAAGCAGGGTGGTGGTGGTGGTGCATGCCTTTAATCCCAGCACTCAGGAGACAGAAGCAGGTGGATCTCTGTTACCTCCCGCCTTATATTTCTTTCTATTGAGCCATATCCCTTCCTGTCTCCACCTCCCTAGTGCTGGAATTAAAGGCGTGAGCCACCATTGCTTGGCTCTGTTCCTCTTTTAGACTGATTCAATCTCGAGTAGCCCAGAGTGGTCTTGAACTCAGAGATTCTTCTGACTCTGCTTTCTGAGTGCTGGGATTAGAGGTGTGTGCTACCACTGCCAGGCTGCTATGGCTAACTAGGAGCTTAGAGCTCTGCACTCTGATCTTCAAGCAAGCTTTATTTGTTAGAGCACTAACAAAATATAACCACATTATATAGATATGCTAGGTCATAAGGGTAGATTATTGAATCTACTCTGAAAAGAAAAAGGGGATATATAAATAAGATAAATTGGCTTAGCTCTGTATTCTATCTTTTTTTAAAAAATATTTATTATGTATACAATATTCTGTCTGCATGTATGCTTGCAAGCCAGAAGAGGGGACCAGACTTCATTACAGATGGTTGTGAGCCACCATGTGGTTGCTGGGATGCTGGGAATTGAACTCGAGACCTTTGGAAGAGCAGGCAATGCTCTTAACCACTTAGCTATCTCTCCAGCCCTATCTGTATTCTATCTTCAAACAAGCTTTATTTGTTAGATCACAAACAAAATATCACGAGAGAGAGAGAGAGAGAGAGAAAAGGCTCTTCTCACTGATTGAAAAGAAACATAAATCTAAAAGTCCAACAGCATTCACATTAGCTATGTTCATTCTCTTACTCAGATAGCAGGCAGTATTCTCCAGCTCACTACAGCATTAGCTGACCATTTCATCAACTCAGATGTGCCCACATGGAGTCATTTTCTACTTCTTACCATTAGCTCTACTCTTTATCCATAGTGAAAAGAAAAAAAAAATGAACAGAGCTCATTCACATTGAAAAAAAGTTTATTTAAAAAAGTTCTAGCAGCAAGAACAGTAACAAAACAAAAGGAGAGATGGACAAACAAAACAAGAAGGAGGTTGTGTCCTTGTGGGGTGTCTCCACTCTTAATCGAGTTCTTTATATCGAGCAAACATAACTCTTCGAACAGCATCTCGGTAAGTTTCATTGGACTGTCTCTTGCTGGTTCTTCCTGGGGCGCCACCACCAGGTCCCCTCATCCTTCCTTCAGTCTGAAGAACAAAGAGTGAAGTGAGATCTTTGGATAAGGAGGAACACAATGCCATGACTTCAAATAAAGGCTTCAATAACAGACAAGTTTTCAGAGGAATAAAATGAGTCAGTCTTTAAAGGTTGGCAATCTCAGAGACCCAAACCTACGCAAATGGGCAATATTTCCTATGATTACTTTTTCAGGGACTCTTTCTGAAAAATAAGGAGCTATGTCCTTCCAGGGAACTAAGACTAAGTTCTAACTTCATGATCCCCCATCTTAGCTATCAAAGACCACTGCTGACAATCCCTCTCATAGACAGAGGTCTCTAATCTTTGATTATTGGCTTCCTGGCTCTTTTTAGTTCCTGTGTACCCCTAAGGCCCCAAGCCTTTTTCTTTTTTTTTTTTTTTAATGTGTCTATACTGGGGATTGAACCTAGAGCCTCAGGCTTTAGAAATGAGTGCTCTATTCCCAAGCCACAGCCCTCCTTGTTCTTTAATCAAATGATACTTTAGTTTCAAGATGCCTGGCTCCCATACTGTCCTCATTGCATATTCTTTATATAAGAGTATGATAAACTCTATTCAAACTTCTCTGCTACCTTTTCACTGTCAGGGAAATCACCAAGCACTCAACATAACAAGTTGTAACACAGGATCGAGGGGAAGGCATGGTGAATTGGAAGGGTACATGTCACTATCCTGACAACCTGTGTTTGATCATTTGATCCCGAGGTGGTAGAAGGAGGACTGATTTCTAGAAATTTTGATCTCTATTTTGAGCATGTGTTTTGAGGCCAGATAGTAAAAGTTAAGTATATTCTATGTTCATATAACTCCCAGGAATAAAGAATTCATCTCACCTCCTCTGACGAACCCAATCCAGGATGGCTATATCCCAGGCCTGCCCCTTTCCTCCAGCCAGTGGCCTGCTGGTTACAGCCTCCTTTGCTATTAGTGTCAGTATCTTCTTTATCAACAGGGTTACGATCACTATAAGGGAAACAGATATACTTCTAACACCACTTTCAAGGTGACCTGCTGACCTCTTGATTGAGATCTGTTTCCTATAAAGTATGTTAAGCAAAACTTGATTCCCATTTAACTAGGCTTGTCCTAAGGGTGCAGAGGTGGCCTGGATCATGGGAAAGAACATAGAAACTTTAGAGGACTGAGAAGAACAGTCATGGATGTGGCAATAGTGGATATGTACTCCAGAAATACAATGGAGAGAACACAAACATGAACAGATATCTCCAAAACTGAAAGGCACTTAAGGAAGATGACACATCCCAACTGGATCTGGACAAATGACGGGCTTATAAACTAGTCATCTCTCCAGCCTCTAAATACTTCTTATCAATGATAACAAAACAAAACAAAATGGAAAATCAGGAGTTCCCTATAAAGATACTATATAGACAATTATTGAGCTATGACTACAAAATAAGACGAAACACCATTCTTAGACTATGGCGGGTCTCTTCTGAGACTTACTCTGTCAATAATCTCCCTTTCTTTATAAACCCAACCTTCCCTGCCTGACCCACCCTGCTCTTTTAAGGCTCAACAACAACAAAACCTGTTCAAAGCTCTATAAATAAAAATGACTACTTTGGGGGCTGGAGAGATGGCTCAGCAGTTAAGAGAACTTGCTCTTCTTCCAGAGGACTGGGGTTCAATTCCCAGTATCCAGATGGCAGCTCACAACTGTCTGTAGCTTCAGATTCAGGAGATCTGACACCTTCATCCCAATGCACATAAAATAATTTAAAAAATAAATCAAAATGACTACTTTTAGCTAGGCACGGTGGTGTACAACTTTAATCCCAGCAGTTGGTATGCAGAAGCAGGAGGATTTCTGAATTTGAGGCCAGCCTGGTCTGCAGAATAAGTTCCAGGACAGTCACACTACAAAGAAACCCTACCTTGAAAAATAAAAAACAAACAAAGAAAGTTCCTTTACTTCTACTCATGAACCTTTTTGTCCCTTTTCTTCTTTCCTTTCAAGGCCTCAGATCCCTCTTGTTATAAACACCCAACAGAAACCCAAGAATCTTCAAAGCCACTGATCACAAAGCCTGGTAGATTTAATATTTTTCTCTGATCTAGTCACAGTCTGCCTATGGCAATTATCTCACAAATAAGGATCATCATACTCTTTCTTCAAGTTTATCTTCTATATGTTTAATAATCCCTAAAATAGAATGTCACTTTATGATTTCTTGCTACCTTAAAAAAAAATTGTAGTGAGCTGACCTCTAATCTGTTGAGAAGCCCTATTTCCTGCCATTCAGCAACATACTCCATCTGTTTAGCTCTGTCAAATCACATGTCAAATGCATCATGAGCTCCTAAAAAACAAAATCCTGGCTAGGTGGTGGTGGCACACGCCTTTAACACCAGCACTCGGGAGGCAGAGACAGGTGGATCTCTGTGAGTTCGAGGCCAGTTTGGTCTACCAAGTGAGTTCTAGGATAGGCTCCAAAGCTACATGTAGAAAAACCCTGTCTTGAAAAAAACCAGAGGTTTCTCCAATTGAAACATTCCTCTGCTTCCCTCCTTACTGGCTTTTCTATGGGACACATCATGACTTAAGTTTTCTCTACTCTGTGTACAAAGGACCAGTGATAATATATGGTTTGTCCACTGAATATTTCTTGCACTTAGTACAGTGGCAACACATCAAGGATTATCATCAGACTTGATGTAATTATGGGATTTATAACTTGGGAACTGTTTGTCTGGAAACAAGCAGAGGAAGTTAAGAGGTCATATATCTCTAGCAACAGCCAACCAATTACTTTAGTATGCAATTGTGAGAATGGAGAACCCAGAGAAATAGTCTTAAGAATTGAACATTATGGGGGCTGGAGAGATGGCTCAGAGGTTAAGAGCACCGACTGCTCTTCCAGAGGTCCTGAGTTCAAATCCCAGCAACCACATGGTGGCTCACAACCATCTGTAATGAGATCTGGTGCCCTCTTCTGGCCTGCAGGCATACATGGAGGCTGAACACAGTGTACACAATAAATAAATAAATCTTTAAAAAAAAAAAAAGAATTGAACATTATCAGGTTTATAATACAGTATTACTGACATACAGTTTCGAGGACAGTCACTTCAGCCTTGGCTTCAGTAGCAAAAGTACTTTAGTCAGTCAACCTTCCATAGAAACACATATATTTTCAGTGTAAAGAAAAGAGGGTCAAACAGCCATGGTGGATCTTATGGTCATGGAGTACAGACAAAACTGGCTTCTAATAACATCACATTTCTTTCCTTTTTTTAAAAAAATATTTATTTATTTATTATGTATACAATATTCTGTCTGTATGCCTGCAGGCCAGAAGAGGGCACCAGACCTCATTAGAGATGGCTATGAGCCACCATGTGGTTGCTGGAATTGAACTCAGGACCTTTGGAAGAGCAGGCAATGCTCCTAACCTTTGAGCCATCTCTCCAGCCCCTGACATCACATTTCTCTAAGAGAGAAAGTAGTAAAGCATTTGCAGAAGACAATTCTATCAATACATCTCAAGGCTATAGCTGATTATCTGACGTACCTGTCAGCTTCCCTGGAGTATTTAATCCGTTTCCTTTCTGGAGAATCAAAAGATTGGAGCTTTTCCCTTCGATCATTTCCTCTTTCTTTAAACCTTCCCTGTAGCGAACAGAAGAGAAGACTTGAGGGTTCTACCTAAGAGAATGATTGGGATGCGGATGGTCTACCTATTCCTGACACTATTAGCGGGGTGGTTTTTAAGGTTAGGTATATAGGATCTTACTGTGCTCACAGGCTGAGATTATACCATCCTCTCACTTCAGTCTCCCAAGTGCTACCTGTGCATGGAATTTATTATTATTTTGCTTTATTTTTTTTTTCCTCAGACATGGTCTCACCTTGCAGCTTTCTTTACTCTTGAACTTACTGAATTTCTCCTGCCTCAATCCCAAAGCACTGGAACTACAGGGGAGAGTCAGTATATCAGGCTTTGTTTTTTTTTTTATAAGTAATTTTTAAAAATAAATTTAAAAAATTTGAAAGCTGGCAGAATGCCTTTAATCCCAGCACTCAGGAGGCAGAGACAGTCAGATCTCTGTGAGTTTGAGGTCAGCCTGAAGTACAAGGAGAGTTCCAGTACTGCCAGGGTTGTTACACAGAGAAGCTCTGTCTTTACAAGCAAACAAACAACAACAAAAACCGAATAGGAAATAAGAGTGCTATTTATCTAACATACCTGAAGAACCTAACATAACCTTAAAAAAAAAAAAAAACCCAAAACTTTACTAAGTTATAATTTATAAACAATGAGACTCTTTCTTTTCTTTTTTTCTTTTTTTTGGCTTTTTGAGACAGGGTTTCTCTGTGGCTTTGGAGCCTGTCCTGGAACTAGCTCTGTAGACAGGCTGCCTCAAACTCATAGAGATCCACCTGCCTCTGCCTCCCGAGTGCTGGGATTAAAGGCGTGCGCCACCACCGCTTGGCAAAACTCATTCTTAATAAAGAATGAAAGTTCTGACAAATGTATATATCATATTTTGGGACCTCTTTTTTTTTCAGTCTTTTTGTAAGGAGGGATCAGTACAATAATCAAAGTATATACCATGGGGCAAAAAGATTTTGAGCACAGTGAATAACTGTTCATCAAAGTTTACCTCCCGTTCTCTCCTCTCCAGATAGGCTAGCTCTTGCTCAGACTGTTTTATCTTCCGGTGGATTTCCAGGTTTTGCTGAGAAAAGAGGAAATTTTATGAGTATAGGTCTAGGAAAAACAACAAAACAGTTCTAGAAATGCTTCTAGGCCTTTCCCAAAAGGTGCTTAGGTCTGTAGCTAAAATGACTCTTAAATGACTAAGACACCCTCCAACAAACAATCCCTAAGTGGTTCTGCCTTGTTCCATCATTAAGAAAACTATATTCTAACTGACACACAGATTATATGGTAAAGCACGTAAGAGAATTTCTATTTTTGTCCAAAATGAAGATAAAAATCTGATCTATCTTTATTTCTTTACTTAAAGTATGTGTATGAATTCCTCTGGGACTGGAGTTACAGATGTTTGCGATCTTCCATACAGGTGCTGATAATTAAATCTAGGAACTTCTGCAAGAGCAGTTAGTAGTACTCTTATGGTGGTTTGAATAGGAATGGTTTCATGGGCTCATATATTTAAACATGTGGTCATTAGGGTAAAGTGCTACTTGAAAGGGAATAGGAGGTATGGCCTTGGAGTAGGTGCAGCCTTCTTGGAGGAAGTATGGCACTGGGGGTGGGCTTTGGGGTTTCAAATGCTTAAGTCAGGCTCAACATCTTGCTCTCTTCCTGCTGTCTACTGATTTGGATGTAGAATTCTTATCTACCTCACTTGTACCATGTTTGCCTATGTGTTGCCATATTTCCCACCGGGCTGATAATGGAGTAATGTCCTGAAATTGTAAGGCAGCACCAATTAAATGTTTTCCTTTATAAGAGTTGCCATAATCATGGTGTCTCTTCACAAGCAATAGAACACTGACTAAGACAATCATTAAAGAATCTCTACAGCTCATGGCTTATCTTTAATTTAAGATAAAAATAATGGGAGAGAGGGTCTGAACAAACCAGAAAAGAATCACATGTCCCACACTCTGCCTACTACTTTCCCACCCATCATTCCCAATCACTAGATACTTTTCCATAGATCCAGAAAAATATAGAAAGAGCACCAAGCTCTGAAAGAACAAAAACTCTTCTGAGAGCACCACATTCTTCTTCGGCTTACTATACAAGTCCTTAGGCATGTATATGAAACATTGTGAGTTCAAAATAGTTCTTATATGGAGAAGCAATTCTTTGCTCTTGACACCATCAATGAAAAGAAAAAGGCTACAGTATATGCTCTTTTTTTTTAAATATTTATTCATTTATTATGTATACAATATCTGCCTACATGTGTGCCTGCAGGCCAGAGAGGGCACCAGATCTCACTACAGATGGTTGTGAGCCACCATATGGTTGCTGGGAATTGAACTCAGGACCTTTGGAAGAGCAGGCAATGCTCTTAACCACTAAGCCATCTCTCCAGCCCCCTACAGTATATGCTCTTAACGCCAGTTCAGTTTATAGATTACTAGATCTCTGGCTCCTCCTTCCAACAACTACTTTTTTTTTTAAAGATTTATTTATTTATTTTGTTTACAGTGTTCTGTCTGCATGTATGCCTGTAGGCCAGAAGAGGGCACCAGACCTCATTAAAGATGGTTGTGAGTCACCATGTGGTTGCTGGGAATTGAACTCAGGACCTCTGGAAGAACAATCAATGTTCTTAACCTCTGAGCCATCTCTCCAGCCCCCAACAACTACTTTTTAACCTCTTCTTCCATTATTAGCATTTTGTTTTGGTAGGAGCTGAAATTCAAATGGGTCAGTTTGATGATTTAGAATTCTAGCAGGTCACAGATAATTAGGAAGTAGTTTATTCCAAGGATCATTAGGAGGAATTTCTCAGAATCCTAGAAGCTTTGCAAAGTCTCCAGGGTGGTAGCTGGGACAAGCAATATATTTAGTATCAAAAGTAGGGCTTCTCAGATTTTGGTTAACAAAGACTTTTGGTTCTGTACTGAGAGAAGTTTAATCTAGTTCCCTTGCATCTTATCTTGCAACATCTGCTAAGAAGGAGTATGAAAGAGATTACTCTCAGAACATGAGTCCATCTAAAGGTTTTACTTCTTTATAATTTGGTTCCTTGGTAAGACTAAGGGAGGAATCAGTATATGTTATGTTAATGTCCACCAAACAACTAGTGTATTTGCAACTTAAGGCAATAAATACTACATGGAGATAGAAGCCTGATTCACCTATGATGATGACAATACATTATCATATTAGATATGATATCTGGATAGAACCAGGTGAAGCTAACAAGTATCAAAGAAGGAGCTTATCTGAGTCACAACTATTAGTTAACGGGAAATTATCTTTCTAGTTACAAATCCTTTTCTTCTTGCACAGCTTGTGTATTTGGTTCCATAGTCATAAGTCATTGAGTCTGAGAAGGAATTAAGCAAAGTTATTCAAAGTTATTCATACGAGCCATTGAGTTTGAGAAGGGATTAGGCAAAGTTATTATTTTGGTTTTTTGAGATGGGGTTTCTCTGTGTAGCCTTGGCTGTCCGGGAATTCACTCTGTAGACCAGGTTGGCCCTAAACTCACAGAGATCCACCTGGTTCTGCCTCACAAGTGCTGGAATTAAGGCATGGAACACCAGTCCAGCTTATTTTTTAATTAATTAATTAATATATGTATGAATATTTTGCCTGTGTGTATGTGTGTGTACCATGTACATGCAGTGCCCAAGGGGTCCAGAAAAGGGTGGAGACCAGAAGAGGGCATTTGGAACTGCACTTTGTCTTGTGAGATCACTATGTAGGTATTGGCAACTGAACTCAGGTCCTCTGGAAGAGCAGCAAGTGCTCTTAAGTGTTGTACTATCTCTCCAGCTCCAGGCAAAACCTTTTAACTCACATCAATTCATGAATTTAAAAAAAGGATGAATGAATCAGCAAAATGGCTCAGTGGGTAAAGGTGCTTGTTATGTAAGCCTGGGTGACCTGATTCTCCTGGAAGGAAAGAGTTGACTAAACCACACAGTCCTCTGACTTCCACATATGTGCTTGGAACACTGTGGTCACACACTTATCATGTAAAGGAGGTTTAAGTATCTCCACTTCCAGCAATGGTAAGAGCCAAAATTCGAAAAGGTCATGGACTCTTCCTGAAATACCTTGTGCAGGTCTGACAGCTGTTGGTGTTTGATAAGAACTTCTTTATTGGGAAACTGCCTTCTGCAGAGCAGACAGGCCAGTTTATTCCAGTCAGTGAGTTTGTCTTCTTCATTCTCTTTCTTGGTCAGCTCCTCCCGCTGCTGAGGCTGTGCTGTGCGAAGCTGCACAGGAGGGGCCTGTTCCTCTTCCTCTTCTTCCTCATAGTCACTGTCTCCTCCATATTCACCCAGGAGACCAATCAATGGGTTTACCACCTTAGGCTGGAAGAAAACGTCAGAGCTTATAAAAATATTTAACCTACATTTGGGAATATTCTGTTAAGACCATCTCCTTCCTTTGTTCTAATTGATTGGGTTTGGTAAATGTCCACTACCTATCCTATTCATCTCCCAAACAGAAGTGGCACAGCTGAGTTTGACTTTGTAAAGAACAGAATAACATGATAGAAAAGAACTGACAAGCCAGTAACTTAAGAAGGAAACAGGAAGAGCAGTGAGATGGCTTATCGGGGAAATGCTATCTAGGTAAGACTGACTGAGTTTAATCCCTGAAACCCACATAAAAGTAGAAGGAAAAAAACCAATGCCATAGCGTTGCCCTTTTACTTTGTGCATATGTATGCACACACACAAAATAATTAAAAAAGAAAAAAAGAAAAAAGGAGGAGCCAATACCCAGTGTGATGAAAAACCCACAAGGTAAAGAAAAAGAAGTTAGACAACAGTCTCTGATTTGTTACACCCCTGATAGCAGGTAGCAACTTTTCTACTATGTACACTTAAGAGGAATCCTTACTTGGGATAGAATTAAGGAACTAAAACAAAAGGCAGGAGCCTTTGGGGTTCCTTTCCCTGCCAGATCAGCCCAAGATATCAGAATCAGCCTTACTGGAGGGGGACTCTCTTCTTTCTTCACTGTAGGAGGCAGGGGCTTCTTAAAAACATCTTCTGGGGGGGACTTCCCCTCACTGGTACTTTCTTGAAACTGAACAACGACAAATGTAATTTTTATATGATAATCACTAACAAAAACCGGGTTAATAAGTTAGTTTTGTTAAAACTGGTTTTCCAAATATTCAAACATCTGCAACATTTTGAAATTTTGAAATACAGAACTTTTAAAAGTGAGTCAGGTGGTGTTGATGAACGCTTTTAATCCCAGTACTCGGGAGGAAGAGACAATGGGATCTCTGTAAGTTTGAGGACAGCCTGGTCTACAGAGTGAGTTCCAGGATAGCCATGAGTTACACAGAGAAACCCTGTCTTGAAAAACAACAAACAAAAGTGTAATATTTAGGCCAGGAGCAGTAAACCACTTACCTAAGCATTCGAAAGGAGTAAAACCCTCAGTACCAACAAATAAACACCCCAAAACGCATTAGTGTAATTGTGTGTCTACAACAATTTAGGCACCAGATGAGGTATTAATATATAGCCTTTCCTTATAAGTCTTCTAGATTCTAGTTGGTATTACTTCCCTCAAAAGGATCAAGAATATGTTAGAGGTAGAAACAGAACCTGAACATAAAGGCAGCATGATTCTAAATTTTAAGTTCTTGGAGGCACGCGCGCGCGCACACACACACACACACACACATACATATCAAAGATAAGTCTCTTTTCTTTTTTTCTGTATTTAGACAAACAAATGGAAATACCAGGAAGGGGAAAGGAAGTTACAAATTGAACCTCAAACAAATTCATTCATTTTCATTAATACATAACTGACATGAAGGGACCCATGACTTTAATCCCAGCATATGGGAGGCAGAAGCAGGTAGATCTCTGTGAGTTTGAGACTATACTGGTCTATAGAGAGTTCCAGGACAGTCAGAGCTACACAGAGAAACCCTGCCTGTTTCAAAAAACAAACAAAAAAAGAAAAACATCACAGTAAAGATGAAAAAAGACCAGTAAGAGGGACAGAAGAAAAGGAAGGTATGGCTTTAATGATAATTTTTACCATATCACATCACTCTAACAAGATAGTATAAATATGAAAATTACTTATGAAAAAACAGAATGTGAATAAAAAAATAGAGAATGGAGGGCTGGCAAGATGGCTCAGTGAGTAAAGGCACTTGCTGCCAAGACTGGTGACCCAAGTACAATTCCTGAGAGCTTGGCAAGAGAGAGCTGACTCCTATGACTTAATACCAGGTGTCTGCCCATGCCTCAAGTTAAAAAAACAAAACAAAACAAAACAAAACAAAAAACAGTCAAAACTATCCTTGTTACAATTGTAAGAGAAGTGTACACATAGAACCACACACTTAAAGGACAATAAGCTGGCAAGTTAGTTCAGCTAGTGACCTAAAGTCAATCCCCAGAGCTGACAGAGCCAATATAAAGCTGGAAAGAGGACACTAACTCTACAAAGCTGTCCTTTGACCATCACATATATGTGTGCTATGAATGTACATCCATGGTCGTGTGACTGCCCATACGTAAAATACAAACAAAAATAAATAGACATAAACAAAAATATAATTGGGCTGGGCAGTGGTGGCGCACACTTTAATCCCAGCACTCGGGAGGCAGAGACAGGTGGGCGCCAAAGCTATAGAGAAACCCTATCTCGAAAAACAAAAACCAAAAAACAAACCAAACAAAAATAGATAATTGAGCTGGGAGTGGTGGCATACACTTTTAATCTTAGTACCCAGGAGGCAGAAACAGGTGAATCTATGACTATTGTTTGGATGAGGGTCTCACTCCAGTCCTTTGCATGCATATATCCAAAGAGTCTGGAATGTTTAGATGGAAGCCACACCTCAACCACTCCTGAGACTCCATCCCCCTGAGAAAGTCGCCAATTGATGACCCTTCCCCAGAGATGCTTGAGACCATTCCCATAGGGTATTTAAACTGCCCGAGAACAAACGTGGGGTTTTCTGGTTTATCTTCCCTGTCTCTTCTCTTGGGGGCTGGAAAGTCATCTGGGAGTGTTTGTATTTATTAAATCTGGGCTTTTTCTAATTCGGTTTCATTTGGTCTGATCTGGATTATTGTGCTGGTGCAGAGGTTTACGGGGTACAGAAACTTTACAAGTATGAAGTCAGCTTAGTCTAGGCTAACCAGGGCTGTATAGTCAGACTGACACTCTCCTCCCTCTCCTCTCACCTATGTGTTTAAGTGTTTTGCCCCCCCCCCAAGTATACACTAGAGAGAGAGCGCACACTAGAGTACACACACCATGTGCATGCCTGGTACCCTTGGAGGCCAGAAAAGGGTGCTGGAGCCCCAGAACTGGAGCTACAGATAGTTATAAGCTGACTTGTGTATGTTAGGACTTGAACTGAGGTCTTAGCCATCTCTTCAGATGCTAGAGCAGTGTTTTCCAGCCTTTGGTCTAACAAATCTTTCATATAGGTCACCTAAAACCATCTGAAAACACAGATAATGCAAAATTACAGTTATGAAGTAGTAATGAAAATAGTTTTATGGTTTGGGGTCACCACAACACGAGAAACTGTATTAAAGGGTCACATTAGGAAAGTTGAGAACTACTTACTATCCTAGAGTACTTTTCAGTGTATAGAGTATTTTGCCTATATGTATGTCTGTGCACCACATATATACATATATGCCTGGTACCCAAGAAGGTCAGAAGAGAAAGTTCTATCTGCTGGAATTAGAGTTACAGGCAGTTCATGTGAGTTTTGGGAATTGAATGTAGGTCCTCCAGAAGAGCAGCAGGTGCTCTTAATTGTTGTTCCATCTCTTCAGCTGTCTCCCCTTGCTATTTTGTTGTTCATAAAAGTGGTTTCAGCCGGGTGGTGGTGGCGCATGGCTTTAATCTCAGCACTCTGGAGGCAGAGGCAGGAGGATCTCTGTGAGTTCAAGGCCAACCTGGTTTATAAGAGCTAGTTCCAGGATAGGCACCAAACCTACAGAGAAACCTTGTCTTGAAAAAAACCAAAAAAATTGATTTCTCTTTTATATACATATTTTATATTAATATGTCACTTACTAATACATTATACAACATTATTTATTTGCATTTCTATGTTTTGTTGATTTTCCAGACAGGAAAATCCTGTGTAGCCTTGGCTGTTCTAGAACTAACTCTATACATGAACTCAGAAGAATGTTTGGATCCCCTAGAACTGACTGGAATTACAATTGTGACCCTCATGTGGGCACTGAGAAGCAAACCTGGATCCTCTGCAAAAACAAGTGCTCTGAAGTGCTGAGTTGTTTCTCCAGGACCCCCTAGGGAATTTTTAAAAAAGATTTATTTATTATATATACAGTGTTCTGCCTGCATGCCAGAAGAGAACACCAGATTTCATTATAGATGGTTGTGAGCCATCATGTGGTTGCTGGGAATTGAACTCAGGACCCCTGGAAGAGCAGCCAGTGCTCTTAAATTCTGAGCCATCTTGCCAGCCCCCTAGTGGATTTTTAAAGTGACTAAACACCTCTGTTCATGATGTCTCTAGTTTACATGTGATCATGTGATAAAAGAGAGCAGACTAAGAACTGGTCTGACCTTTGTCACTCCTCTGTCTTTCTTCTCTTTGCTATCTCTTTTAGTCGGTTCTTTCTTGCTACTTGACTTTCCTTGACTGGTAGATTTTTTTTCCTTGATCTCTTCTTCCTCTGGTGATTCAGGGTCCTGGGGCACATAGACTTCTTGCTGTGATACAGTATGAAAAAAGTAAGTCTATAGAATGCTTGCTTTTCCAGAATTTAACGTTTAAGGAATACAGTTCCCTTCAAGGGAACAGAATGGTTCTTATACAAGCTGAAGAACCCGTAGCAATCTAAGAAGCCATTTCAGGGGCTAGTATTTATTTAGGCCATCAATTATACACTGTTCCCAGAGCAGCGCTGTTCTTATCTGTAATGCCACAGTGCATTTCTATATAAGCAACAGTTTAGATTCCATAAATTTTACCACTTTTCAAGCAATGAGCATCCAGAGAAATCAGAGAATAAAATACTCAGAGTAACACATTATGGGTACTTTTCTCAAAAGGATTACTGACAGAGTAAGTAAAGCAAAAAAAAAAAAAAAAACAAAAAAAAAACAAAAAAAAACCAAAAAAAACCCCACAAAAAACAAAACAAAACAAAAAACCCAAAAACTAACCTGGGTGTTGGGGTCATAGTAAGTTCCTGCCAAGGGGTCATAATAGTAGCCAGTAGCAGAGTCATATATGTAGCAGTCAGAGGATGCTACATGGAATAAAATCAGAGCCAGCATTAGTTTCTGTCCAATAAAACTGTTACTGAGGGCTTACCAAGAACAAAGCAATAATTTGGGAAATTAGGGTGCAGAGGTTATACAAGGTATATTCTCCTTGGGTGAGTGGCCTTAGTTAAGTATTTTGGCTAAATTTATGACCACACAAGTTTTAAGTAATGACTAGCCAATCAAGATGGAAAGAAAGAAAGAAAGAGAGAAAGAAAGAAAGAAAGACAAAAATTACTTACACTGTTGCCCTTGCCGATTTGTATCTGAGGACCAATCTGAATTTCTATTTCCTCCTCTCCTATCTCGGAAATATTTTTTACCCTAGCAGAGAAAGTGAAGGTAGAATTATGGAACTACACAATAGCCATTAACCTTGACAGACATCCTTTTAGTTACCTGAAGGTTTTAGAGGACATTCTCAATATGTTAAATCCTACCTGACAGTAATGCATGTGGTCAGAATGGTCCCCAGAATCATTTCTGCAACACAAAACATGACATATCAAAGACTGAGCAAAAGGTACTCGAGGAATGCTTAATTCTATCTTTCTCACTGTGTAGGAAAAGGAACCACCCAGACAACAGGCAGGTGGGGTGGTCCAGATACTTGAATGGAACAGCAGTGCGATTTATAATGTGTTGGAACAAAACCAATGACTAAGTAGAGGCTAGAGCAAAAGCTACCTCATGACTGTGAACTCATCTCTGATGTGCTATCTCCCAGTTAGCAAGCAGTTTTTGGTCAAGATGAGTAAAGAAGTAAAGAGTAACGGGATTAGATATTCTAGGATGACTCTGGTTAGGACAATGGGAAGATTGTATATTTACTTAGGATTCTAAAGAATGAGATAAACGGGCTAGAGAGATGGCTCAGAGGTTAAGAGCACTGAGTGCTCTTCCAGAGGTCCTGAGTTCAGTTCCCAGCAACCACATGGTGGTTCACAACCATCTGTAATGAGATCTGGTGTCTTCTTCTGGCCTGTAGGCATACATGGAGACCAAATGTTGTACATATAATAAATAAATCTTAAAAAAAAAAAAAGAACGAGATAAACTGAGGTTCCCCTGTCCCTGAATCCAGATGTGTTGGCTCATGGTTGTACCCTTTGTACTCTGAAGTCTAAGGCAGGGGACTGCTGTGACTCTGAGGCTACCCTGGGCATGAGATTTTGCCTCAAAAATCAAAAAGCTCTTTGTGCAGTGATGGTGGTACATGCCTTTAATATTAGCACTTGGGAGGCAGAGACAGGCAGATCTCTGTGAATTCAAGGCCAGCCTGGTCTACAAAGTTGAGTTCCAGGATAGTCAGGAATGTTTCACAGAGAAACATTGTTTCAAACCCCTACACCCCAAAACTCCAAAATTAAAAGAAAAAACCTTGCCATTAATTCCAGCAATCAAGGGGCAGAGGCAGGCAGATTTCTGTGAGTTCGAGGCCAGCTTGGTCTGTCTACAAGAGCTAGTTCCAGGACAGGTTCCAAAGCTAGAGAGAAACCCTGTCTCAAAAAACCAAAACCAGAAGAAGAACAGAGAGAGAGAGAGAGAGAGACAGAGAGAGAAAGAAACAAGGTCTCACTATGGAGACTTAGATGGCTTAGAACTTGCTATGAGATCCAGCTGTCTCTTTCTCCTTAGTGCTGGAATAAATGGCCTACAATAACATGCTCAGGTGGAAATACTATTAAAAATGAAAACAATTCTATAGTCAGAATATAGCACATTATAGAAAAGCGAAAATGGATAAGCAGGTAATAGAAGCAGCTCATGCTGGGATTTAACAATGCCCTACTATTTGTCTCGCATCCAGGAAAAGCAGGTTCTTCCCTAAAACTTAAGTGAGGCCTTACCTTCGTTTTCCAGTAGCCAGGTTTACAGCTACCATCTTCCCATCAATGCTAAACGGTGGATCAAGGTTCTGCAAAATCTTCACTACTCGAAGAGCTTCCTAAGGAATCAAAGACAAATTTGAACCCAAAGAGAGAAAAGGCTACATCCTTACAAAAAGAACTGAACTGAACATGGATTTTCCTTCTTAGAAGATAAAATTACTGGGTATAATGCTTTGGTAATAAGTTGAAAAAATAAATTTTAATGTGGCCAGGTGTAGTGGTCCACCTTTAATCACCTTTAATCCCAGCATTTGAGAGGCAGAGGCAGACAGATCTCTTGAGTCAGAGGACAGCCTGGTTACAGAGAGTTTCAGGACTGTCAGAGTTACATTACATAGTGAGACCCAATCTTGATAAAAACCACCCACCCTTGAAAAAAAAAACCTAAATATACATAAATAGAAAATTTTATGTGTATGTGTCTTTTGCCTGCATGTATGGCTGTGCACATGTACACACCTGGTGCCTTTGGATGCAGGAAGAAGGCATCAGATCTTTTGGAAATGGAGTTATAGATGGTTGTGAGTCAACATGTAGGTCCTAAGATTCAAACCCAGGTCCTCTGGAACTGCTCTTAATCACTGAGTCATCTCTCCAGTCCCTTATGGCAATTTTTACAGTATGAGCAGTATGGTAAACATAACTGGTGAGCATGTGCGTGTGTGTGAGAACTGATACTCAACCTAAGCCCTCATGCATGCTAGATAAGCACTAAGCTACATTCCACTCTTTTATTAAGTTTTAATGTAGAGCAAGGATCTCCCTGGATTGCACAGACTGGCCTTGAACTCATACTGTAAAAATAAGCCTTAAATTTTTTATTTTTATTTTACATGTAAGAGTGTTTTGCCTAACTGTATGCACCATATACATGCCCAGTGCCCCAGAAGGTCAGAAGAGGGTATCAGATCCCATAGACGGGAGTTTGGGGTGGTTGTGAGCTACCATGTGAGTGCTGGAAACTGAACCAGGTTCTCTACAAAAGCAGCAAGTGCTCTTAACCACTGAGCTAGCTCTCCAGCCTGCAAGTAAGCTGTTCTTCTCTCTCTCTCTCTCTCTTTTTTTTTTTTCCAAAGACAGGACAGGACAATTCTGGATGTCCCGGAACTTGCTTTGTGACCAGTCTGTCCTTGAACTCACAGAGATCCACCTGCTTCCTAAGTGCTGGGATTAAAGGCCTGTGCCACCACCACCCGTGACAGTAGCTTACCTTAATAAACATTAGTCCCAATGGAGAGAATTCTCCATTGCCCCCCACCCCACCATATCTCCTTATAAGTGGAGACAAGGGTTCACTTTGTAGGACAGACTAGTCTTGAACTTGTCATCTACCTACTTCAGCCTCTAGAGTGCTAGGTTTTCAGGCCTATACCCTCATACCCTGCTTCCCCAAACATTACTGAAGGTTATTTAGTCATTGGCCTTCATTTTAAAGTGGGAAAAACTCACTGCATGGGAGTCGAGGTCTATAAAGCCATAAGTGTGACCCATGGGGCCAGTTCTGTTCTTGATGATACGGACATTGGCAGTAGTAAGATGGACGTAGGGCTCCAGCACTTCAACTATCACCTCAGGCGGAGTGGAACGATAGATACGTTTTAGCATGATTGCTAAACGAAGCAAGCAAAACAGAGACATTAAGGAAAGAGACATAAAACTTTGAAGTTCCAAGAACTTAATGGTCATTTTTAATCTATATAGCATCTTGCTCTACCAAGGTTGTTTTTTAAAAATCATTTTCCTTTTATAATTTATTTATTTTTATTTTATGTGCATTAGTGTTCGCTTGTATTTACATCCGTGTGAGAGGGTATCAGATCTCGGAGGTACACAGTTGTTAGCTGCATGTGGGTGCTGGGAATTGAATTTGGGTTCTCTGGAAGAGTAGTTAGTGCTCTTAACCGCTGAGCTATCTTTCCGGCCCCTCAAGATTAGTTTCTATAAAAAAAAAAAAAAAAATTCCTACTTTCCTTTTCATTATCAATTCTTAGAAACCTAAAATCATGTCTTGCTGCATTTTTTTTAAATATAGCAATTCGCTATGTGGAAGATATAGATTCTGCTGACTAGTAAAGCCAGCTGAAATCAATGCCTTCTAGATTGTGCATAGCTGGCAGAGGCCATAACATAAGCCATCTACCTATGGTTCCAAACAATCACATGACCTGATAAATCACTCACTTTTGCTCTCTCCATCTTGGCGTGTCTCTCCAGACCATGATTCCTTTTCTCTGTCTCTTCGGAATGCAAGACCGTCCCTTCGAGAGTGAGGGAAATATCTTTCCGTGTCTCTTTTTTGATGTCCCAATCTTGATTCTTGTCCTTCTTCCCGCTTCCTGAATTCATGTTCCTTATCAGTTGGCCGTGGCTGGTTAGGTTGTTTTTCTGAGGGTACTGGTATGGATGTTTTCTGAGGTTGAGGATAGGATACTAGTTCTTGCTTTACTTCTGTCAGTAGGGAGAATTTAAACAGAACTCATATGATTTTATGAAACCAACCAATGCTTTTTCTAAATTTATTTATTATGTATACAGTATTCTCCATATTCTGTCTGCATGTGTGCCTGCAGGTTAGAAGAGGGCATCAGATCTCTTTACAGATGGTTGTGAACTACCATGCGGTTGCTGGGAATTGAACTCAGGACCTTTGGAAGAACAGGCAATGCTCTTAACCACTGAGCCATTTCTCAAGCCCCCCAATCAATCCTTTTAATATCATTGAAAAAATACTTTAAAAAAAAAATCTGATGGTTCTTGAGAAAAAGTTATTTTAAAAAATGAAATAGGGCTAGGCAGTGGTGGTGCATACCTTTAATCCCAGCACTCGGGAGGCAGAGGCAGGCGGATCTCTCTGAGTTTGAGGACAGCCTGGTCTACAAGAGCTAGTTCCAGGACAGGCCTCAAAGCTACAGGGAAACCCAGTCTCAAAAAAACCAACCAACCAATCAAATAAAAAGCCAAACAAACGCTGGGAATGGTGGCAAAGGTCTTTAATTCCAGCACCAGAGAGGCAGATGCAGGTGGATCTCTGTGCATTCGAGGTCAGCCTAGTCTACAAAGTGAGTTCCAGAAAAGCCAGAGCTGTTACCTAGAGAAACTCTATCTTGAACAACAACAACAACAACAAAAAACCCAAACCAACCCCCCCCCCCCAAAAAGCAAAAAACAACAAACAAGCAGGGGTTGAGGATATACACCAGTGGTAAAATGGTACCTAGTATGTACAGGGTCCTGAGTTAGAATCTTAGTATATGGGAGAGAAAACAGGAAGGATAAACGGGGAGGAAGAAAGGAGAAGGGGAAGAGAAAGAGAAACAGTGCAGGGACAAAATTAGCAAAGACATGGTTGCTAGGGGTTTAACAGCATATACCCAAAAGCACATGTCTAGAAGCCTCGTTTCTTCTGGAGTTATAACGCTAACAAAGAACACAGCAAGACTGTTTAGTGAGCATATTTTGTGATTTTCTTCTTACAGCTAAAGTTCATTTTTTCATTTAGTTAGTTTATGCATATGTCTGTGTGCATGCCATGACATGTATAGGGAAGGAAGTCAAGAGGATAACTGTAAGGAGTTAAACACTGAATCTTCTTATCATTTAATATTTTCTCTTTTTTTATTTATGTAATTCATTCATTTTAAGAGGCTTTACAAAGGAAACCATGTGGTTCAAAAAGAGACATTTTATGGGAGCAATGTAATGGGCACTTAATACTAGTAGCAGATGATAAGTGAATATATATGCTTGCTTGTTTTTCTCCTCAACCTTTCCTTGTGAATGTGATATACTGAAGATCAAACCCATGTTATGCAAGTATTATCACTGAGTTATAGACTCAGCTCCAAATATTTGCTGTCTAAGGTTTTCATAAACCATCCATCCATCAAACCACCATAAGAGAAGTCTTTATGAGTTGAATGCTAGGCAAAAAGGCTACTAATCCTGAATTGTACCTGAAAAAAAAAATTAGTCAGGCAGTGGTGGTGCATGCCTTTAATCCCAGCATTCAGGAGGCAGGGGCACATGGTTCAAGCCAGCAGCACTACAGAGTGAGACCCTATCTCAAAACAAAACAAAAAACAGTAATACAAAAGTCATTATTATTATTTTTGAGAAAGGGTCTTACTATGTAACCCTAGTTGGCATGGGACTCTCTATGTAGACAAGACTGAACTCAAACTCAAAAAAGAGCCACTCATCTCTGCCTCCTGAGTACAGGGATTAAACGTATGCATTACCATGCCTGTTCCTCTCCGTTTCTTCCCCCAAGACAAGGTTTCTCTGTCACAGATATGGCTGTCCTGGAACTTTGTTAGGCCAGGCTGGTCTCAAACTCACAGAAATCTGCCTACCTCTGCACTTCTCAAGTGCTGGACTTAAAGGTGTTCACCACCACTGTCCATCTAGAACTGTATTTTTTTTTAAACCATTGAGTCATCTTTCTATTTTTTAAAATAAAATAAAAATATTTTGTTCACTGTGTAAGACAAAAGGCACCATTTTTTTCCCACTCACCTTCCTTAGGGCTTTTGCAGAACGAACAAGACTGATGCCCATCCGTGCTTGTCTTACACTGCAAAGAATGGAAAAGAAAAAAGAAAAAAAACTTCAATGTGACCAGAACCATTTTTAGAAATCTTAATGAATATCTAACACAGTAATACCTGACAAAAATGAAAGAAACAAGGAATATCCCAGGATCCCCTCAAATATTTGATAACCTCACTTGTTGACAATGACAGACAGACATGAGTACTGTTTGAAAACTAACTTCTAAGCAAGCATTTAACAAGGACTACAATACCTCTGACCTGAATAGGGACCTTTAAAGAAATTGCCCGTTAAATGGTTTAAAGGAGACAACAGCCAAAAGCCATTGCCATTTATATAATGTACCCAAAACCTGGTCTTGGGTATATAGTTCCTCATTCTCAATTGTCTTCATTTTTAAGAATGTAACTACCAGTTGGGCAGTGGTGGTGCACACCTTTAATCCCACCACTCACGAGGTAGAGGTAGGCAGATCTCTGTGAGTTCAAGGCCAGCTTGGTCTACAAGAGTTAGTTTCAGAAAGCTAGGACTGTTCCACCAAGAAATCCTGTCTCAAACAAACAAACAAACAAACAGGCTTCTAAAGGATAATAAAAAAATAAGAGATAAAACAAAACCTAATACATTCAGAGTAGGACAAAACAATTGATACATTGACAACAGTCTCAAGCTGAGGGCTATCCTTTAGCCTAGGTCCAAAAATGAGAAGAACCACAGCTCTTGACTATGACAGCACTGCTGGAGCACAAAAAAAAAACTTAAACTGGTAAACATTGGGGTCAGGATCTTAACTCGGTAGGTAGGCATAGTTAAGTACCATGAAACTTACCTATTTTAAGTGCACAGTTCAATTATTTTTAGTAAATGTGTAGTGCAACCACTGCCACAATCTTAATTAAAGTCATTTTCATTATTCCCAAAGAAAACTAGTAAAGTTATTTTCTATCATTAATACCAGCCCATAAATTGTATAATATAGGATCATTTCTTTGCTCTCACATTTCTTTTCCTTTTTAAAAAAGATTTATTATGTACAGTGTTCTGTCTGCACGTATGCATAAACGCCAGAAGAGGGCACCAGATCTCATCACAGGTGATTGTGAGCTACCATGTGGGTGATGGGAATTGAACTCAGGACCTCTGGAAGAATAGCCACTGCTCTTAACCTCTGAGGCATCTCTCCAGCCCCTTGATGTAACATTTCTAAGGTTCACTTAAGTATTAGTACTCCATTTCCTTTCATCACCAAAAGACATTTGAAAACAATCTATGCTGCTGCTGGTGGCACACACCTTTAACCCCAGCCCTGGAAGGCAGAGACTAGTATATCTCTGTGAATTCAAGGCCAGCCTGAACTACACAGTCAGTTTGTGACCAGTCAGGGTAATAGAGAAACCCTGCCATAAAAAAACAAACAAAACAACAACAAAAAAAATCTATAACATGCTAAAGTCTGCACACACTGGGACAAAACCTCTACTGTTCTAAGCACAGAGTGTATAAAGCCTTCCAAGAGAGTAAATTGAGTAATTACCTTGGCACATAACCAGATCATTCTTTTAAGCAACAGTCTTGGCAAAAATTGTAAATCTGATATCAGATATTAATATTTCTTTCTTCTGGTTATTAGAAAATAAAGTTGAAAATATTTTATTTTCTTTTAAAGAAACCCATATTAAAATTAATATGGAGAGTATAAATGGGGAGGGATCCATAATCTTACAATAATATGAAGACAACACTCCTAAAATGTTAAAATGGCCTTTAAAAATTATTTATTAATATCATGTGTATGTGGGTCCATGATGTACAATGTGAGGACACGTGTCATTGCATGCACGTGAAGGTCAGCAGAAAATTTGTGAAGATAATTCTTTCTAACTTTACTTGGGTTCTAGGAATTGAAGTCAGCTGTCAAGTTTGTGTTGTACAACAAGCATTTTTACTCACTAAACCATCCCACTATTCACCAAGGGCCCTTTTGCAGAGATAGAAAACAGACCCTAAAATTTATATGGAACTGCGAAAGATGTTGACTAACCAAAACAACCTTGTGGTGCGGGAGAATTATCTGTATTCTGTCAATCATGTATTTTAATAAAACGCTGATTGGCCAGGCAGGAAGTATAGGCGGGTCAACCAGACAGGAAGTAGAGGTGGGACAATGAGAATAGGATAAGGCTAGGGAGGAGAAAGCTCCCTCAGCCACTCCTGTCCAGACCACCTAAGAGGCAAGATGTAAGCTGCCCAGCTGAGAAAGGTACGGAGCCATTATGGCTAACATAGATGAGAATAATGGGTTAAGATAAGTCATAAGAACTAATAAGTAGCCAGAGCTAAGGGCCAATCAGTTTATAATGTTATGGAGTCCTGTGTGTGATTTTCTCTTTGGGATTTGCCGGCTGTTGGGGTACCGGGCGGACGGAAACCCCAACAAGCCGGCCCTCATGTTACAACCTTGAAAAGAACAGAGAACTCATATTTCCTTTATAAATCTTACTCATTTTATAATAAATCAAAATAACACACATGTGTGGTGGCATACACCTTTAACCCCAGCACTCAGGAGGCAGAGGTAGCTGGATCTCAGAGCTCTGCAGAGTGAATTCCAGGACAGCCAGGGCTGCACTGAAAACTATCTTGAAAAACCAAAAACCAACCAAACAAAAATCAAAACAACAACAACAAAAATCAACCAAACAAACAAATAAATAAAAAGTCCCAACGATCATGGTACTGACATTATGGATAAACATGAAAATTAGGTCTAAAATGAGAGCTGGGCAGTACTGGCACACGCCTTTACTCCCAGCACTCTGGAGGCAGAGACAGGCAGATCTCTGTGAGTTCTAGGCCAGCCTGGTCTACAAGAGCTAGTTCCAGGACAGGCTCCAAAGCTACAGAGAAACCCTGTCTCAAAAAAACCAAAAAACTAAAATGAGAGACTCTAAATTTGTAGATGTATGGATTTTTGATAAGAGTGTCAATATGATTCAACTGGTGAAATAGTTTCTTCAAATATTACTCTTAAGTTCTGAAAATCCCATATACCAAACACCAGTTTGCACACAAAACAAGTAAATTAACAGAGACTAATGATGTAACTTTATGGTAGGGTCCTGAGTTTGATCCCCAGCACCATAAAACAAATACAATCAAAACATTTCAATAGATCAAACACCTAACTATGCAGGTGTGATAGTACACGCTGATAATCCCAGTACTTGGGAAGCAGAAGCAGAGAATCCTTAGAGCCCTAGGTGCATAGTGAGATCCTGTCTTAAAACCAACCACCCAAACTACTCTCACCCACCACTGCAGTGATAGTAAAACTTTTAGACTAAAACACAGGGTTAGGTCTTCATAAATCTTAATGGACAACAAATGTGTTCAGCAACAGAAAACCAAATAAATCAACTAAAAAGGGCAAAAGACTCACTGAACATTTTTCCTAAAAAGCTATACAAATGGTTACATAAAAGATTGTCAATCATTAATCTTTAGGGAAACACAAATCAAAATAATGAGATAGCCCAGTAAGTAGAGGCATTTGCTGACAAAACAAAGGATCTGAGTTATATTCCCAAGGTCCATAGGAGAGAGGGCAAGAACCAAGGTCTGAAAATGGTCTTCTGACCACCACACTTTCAACATTGCATGCTTGTGTCTATACACACAAAATAAAGTAATTTAAAAATGATAAAATATGAGGGCTGGTGAGATGGTTAAATGTGTAAAGACTCCTGTTGCCAAGTCTGACAGCCTGAGTTCAATCCCCAGGAGCCATATAGAAAAAAGAACTGACTCCCAAAATTTCTGCTCTGCCCTGGTGCCATGGCAGGTGGGTGGCCAAATACACACATAGTGTAATAAAAAAAAATTTAAAGGATAAAATGCTGCTATATACTAACTAGGATGGTCTTCATCAAGAAATGGTAAACACTGCTGGGCGGTGGAGGTTGCATGCCCTTTTAATCATAGGAGCCAGGGACGTTACAGAGAAATCATCTTGAAAAACCAACCAACCAACCAATGAACCAACCAACCAACCAACCAACCAAAGACCAGGCTGGCCTCTGACTCACAGAGATCAGTCTGCACTTGCCTTGTCTCCCAAGTGCTGGGATTAAAGGCAAGTACTATCAACCTATTAAGACTTTGTCTTTAAAAAAATTTCTTTTTTTTGCCAAAATAATAAAACTAGGGGCTAGAGAGACGGCTCAGATATTAAGAACACTGGCTGTTCTTCCTGAGTTCAATTCCCAGTAACCACATGGTGGCTGACAACTACCTGTAATGAGATCTGGTGCCCTCTTCTGGCAAACATATATACATGCAGGCAGAACATTATGCATAATAAAAAAATAAATCTTAAAAAAAAAAGTAGAACATTTGCTTAGCAAAGGTTGAGTTTTGCGTTTGGTCACTATCAATCTCTGGCTCCAGCTCACGGGAGTGGGGGCAGGAGGTCTGAAACTAGATGGTACTAATGGTTGCACAATATTCTTATGGTATTTAATATGCCACTGAATTATGTATTCTTTTTGAGACAGGGTTAAGATCAGGAATTTGTGATCTTCTTGCCTTAGTCTTCTTTGGTTTCATTTCTGTTGCTATGACAAACACCCAGACAAAAAACAACATAGAAGAGAAAAAAGTATCTTGTTTACAAATCCATGTTACAGTCCATCATTTCAAGAAGTCAAGACAGAAACTCAAGCAGCTATTCACAGTTAAAGCAAAGGTAACAAATGCACCCTTGCTTGATATCAGTGTGTTATCTCCTCTCTGACATTGTTGGAGACTCCCTGCCAGCTAGGCATCGTGGTGCATGCCTCCTTTAATCCACCTCAGAGGCAAAGGCAAGTCTCTGAGTTTGAGGCCAGCCTGATCTACAGTTAGTTCCAGGATTGCCAGAGTTGTTACACAGAGAAACCATGTCTTTGGAAAACAAACAAAACAAATTGAGTAAGACATGGGAAGAAAGCTAATAACAGCACTCCTCCATGGCCTCCACTTCAGTTTTTACCTCCAATTTTCCTGCCTTAAATTTCTGCCGATATCCCTTCACAGCAGATTATAACTGTAAAATGAAATTAAACTGTCTTAGTTATGGCCTCTATTACTGTGAAACCAGGCAACTCATTTTTTTTTTTTTTTTTTTTGTTTTTCGAGACAGTTTCTCTGTAGCTTTGGACCCTGTCCTAGAACTTGCTCTGTAGACCAGGCTGGCCTCGAACTCACAGATATCCACCTGCCTCTGCCTCCTGAGTGCTGGTATTAAAGATGTGTGCCACCATTGCCTGGCTCCATGGCAATTCTTATAAAGGAAACATTTAACTGGGGCTAGCTTACAGTTTAGAGATTTAGTTCATTATCACCACGGTGGCTGGCATGTAAGCAGACATGGTGCTGGAGAAGGAGCTAAGAGTTATACAACTTGAACTGCAGGCAGCAGGAAGTGAATTGTGCCCCATACTGGGCATAATTTGAGCATAGACTGGATCTCAAAGCCCACCCCCAAAATGACACACTTCCACCAACAAGGCCATACTTACTCCACACCTCCTAATAGTCTCACTTCCTTTGGGGGCCATTCTCCTTTAAACCACCACATAAACCCTTTCCTCCCTAAACTGTTTTTGGTCAAGGTGTTTTACGACAACAATAAAAAGCAAACTAGAAGAATTGCCATATCTGTTTTTTTTGGCTTTTTGTTTGTTTGTTGAGACAGGATTTTTCTCTGTGGCTTTGGAGCCTGTCCTGGAACTAGCTCTTGTAGACCAGGCTAGTCTCGAACTCACAGAGATCCGCCTGCCTCTGCCTCCCAAGTGCTGGGATTAAAGGCATGTGCCACCACCGCCTAGCTCATATCTAGGTTTTATATGGGTACTAGGGATATGAATTTAGGTTTTTTTGCTTTCACATCACAGCCTGTGCTCTTTTCCAATGAGTCATTTCCACACCCCAGGTCTTTCTCTGTCTCTGTCTCTGTCTCTCTCACACACACACCTCTCTGTCTCTGTCTGTCTGTCTGTCTCTCTCTCTCACACACACTTCATAAACTTTATATATATATATATATATATAAAATTTTGTTTGTTTTTTTTGTATTTGTTATTTCTTTGTATTCTTCTCTCATATATTACATCCTGACCAGAATTTTCCCTCCTTTCCAAACCCCCAGTCACATCTCCCCTCCCTACTGTGCACTTTGGCTGGCCTGGAGCTTACTTTGTAGGCCAGGTTGGTCTTAAACTCAGAAATTCACCTGTCTCCACCTCTCAAGTGCTGCTGGGATTAAAGGTGTGGGCCACCATGCATACCTTGTAATTAATTTTAAACTATTAGCAATAAAAACTGAAATAACATTTTAACTCATTGCAATAACACCTCCAATAAAAAGTATAGCTTAAAAGTTTCACAGGCAGCATACCTAGAGATGGAGATGTGGAATGTTAATTTCTTTTCATTTAACGACTATTTTATTGAATGCAATGTAAGGAAATAGTTGGTTAGGTGGTAATTAGAATATTGCCTTTACAATGCTTATTATTCTAAAACAAGAGTTTTTAGTACTTACACGTTTGCAGTACCAAAAATCTGGACTTGGTACATACTCAAGAGTGACCTCTTTATCATGTATCATTAGAGTTCCCTGTAAAAAGAAAGACAAAAGCCATTAACTAAAACCCTCAGAGTAACAGAGACAGGAAGACACAGATGGCCTTTCTAGTCTCCAAGCTGAAACATTTTACAAGAAGAATATCCACAAATTCGTGAGATGTCTGTTTTAAGTCACATATTTGGGACAGTGTGGCAAAGTAGGCTTAAGTTTAGGGACGTGGGTGGGAGAAGGTAAAACTTGTCTTCAGCCTTGGCTCCAGCAGGCTTGGGTACTCTCCTTGGGCAGGCTATGCCCAGTTACTTCTCCAGGTCTCGTAGAACAGTCTCCTGTGTTCAAGCAAGTACCTATCCCTTGCTCCCAAACACTATTAAGCAAAGAGGCAAAGGTTCTCTTTCAATTACCTTCTTTTCTATGTCTAACATATCTCTTTGGAGAGGTAATAAGCTCATAACTGATGTCTACAGCATTTATTTGGAATACTGGCTGTACAGCAAAAGAACCAGGAGAAAGAAGTACAACACCAAAGACAGAAACAAAGGAGGAAGGTCAAAGTTTCACAGCAGATTATATTCTTAAAGCAGCAAACTGTGAATAGCCATTAGCAGCAACACCTGTGGTGGTGTTGGTGGCAGCGGCGGCGGCAGCATCATCATTTAGATTTGGAGCCTACAGAGTGAGCCAACCCTAAGTTTGAGGAGCAACAATTGGCAAAGTCTCTGCAAAATCTGGCACAGGAACAGGTGGGACAAGAGGTCTCAACAAGTCTCTATAGAGCTTCCTTGCCTATTTTTGGACAAGTCACAAATTCTACTTCACATTAAAAAAGTTTTAATAAACACACGCCAGAAGATATATTGGAGCAGAATGGGGAAAGGGTCTTTGCTTACTGAGAAGGGACCCTCAACCACACTGGTAAGTGAACTAACCGAAGATGCGACTCTGGAACTAGCCCCTGCGCTGTGTTCATTCTCCGCCCTCTAGGGTCCTCAGTGTCTCCTCAGACAGGGCTCTGAATTATACAAGTCATTTCCTTGTAACTGGACCTCAGTTTCTTGCTTGAATCCATACATCTGTCAAATAATGCTTTACCTCTCTGCTTTTCACACCAAAAGAGTCAAGAGAAATACATAGAATAAGATTATTGTCTTGTTTAACAAAACCAAAGAAAAACTGCCTACCTAACTGGGTCTTAGAATATAGTTTCTGACAAACTGTTTTCAGTATTGCTCTAAAAGCTAAAGAACAATACTAAGAAAAATTGCTAACATTTACTAAGCACTTATTCAGAGCCACAAACTGATACGTTTATTATATTGCTTAATCCCTTAGATGATCCCATGAAGCAATACTTTTACTTTTCAGATAAGGAACTACTTTTAGAGAGGCTGGATGACCAGCTGGTGAATGTCAGCATAAGATTCATTTAAGTCTATAGATAAGGGCCTCTTGGCTCGTTTATTCACCAATTTGTGGTTGGTATTAGGAACAGGTAATTTACCCTCAAGAGTCAATCAGGAAAGAGATCTGTACGCAGGGAGAGTCAGGGTCAAACTTCTCTGTTATGCTCTATTCATGCAGGAAAATTGGTAAACGTAATACCTTTCCAAAGCAGACAGTGCATCTCATTTGGGAGAGCATGGGCTCTCCCAAAACTGAGGAAGTAGAGGCATGAGGATTATTAGTTCAAGCCAGTATGGTCTACAGAACAGTTCTAGGCCAGCCAAGGCTACATAGTTAAGACCCTGTCCCGTCCAGAAGATTAATACATAAATAATAACAAACATACAGAGGCTGGCACTATAGCTCAGTACATAAAATGCTTACCACCATGCCTGACTAACTGAGTCCAATATACATGACCCATATGGTAGGAGAGGACTGATTCCTACAAGTTGTCCTTTGACTTCTACATGCACGCTAAGGCACACTACCCACTAATTTATTTTCATTCTCTCTCTCTCTCTCCTCTCTTCTCTCTCTCTGGCTGGCCTTGAACTCACAAAGATCTGCCTGCCTCTGGGATTAAAGGCCTGTGCTACCATGTCTTGCTTACTCTGTCTCTTCCCAGAACTCAGGAGGCAGAGGCCTGCTGGTCTACAAAGCAAATTCCAGGATGGCCAGGGATACACAGAGAAACCCTGCCTAGAAAAAAACAGAGACAGAGGCGAGGAGAGAGAGAGAGGGAGGGAGGGAGGGAGGAAGGAAGGGAAGGTAGGTAGATAGGTAGGGGGAGGAGGGAAGGGAGGGCTGGAGAGATGGCTCAGACATCTTCCAGAGATCATGAGATCTGGTGCCCTCTTTGGGTGGACTCTGGAGTAGGTTCTCTTAAATTTGAATCTTGCCTCTACTCCTTCAGAAAGATCAATGTCTTTATTTTTCAGTTTTCTCATCTGTAAGGTGGGATTAAAAATTACTTTCTGTTTGTTATTTTTGCTTTTCAAGATAGGATTTCACTGTATATCCCTGGCTGTCCCTGGAACTCTAAAGACCAGGCTAGGATGGCCTCAAACTCAAAAGATCTGCTTGCCTCTGCCTCTGTCAGGATTAAGAGCATGTGCCAGCACTGCCTGGCCAGAGAGTAACAATTTTTAACTCACAGGATAATTGTAAAGATTATGTTAACTGGTTCGTGTAAAAAGTGTATTATGGATTAATAAGTGAGGGCTTAAATAAATGTTGATTACTTTGAACACTAAATTCTCAAAAAAAGGACCTGTATCAGTAGGTGAAACTAGATGGAGTCAAATCTCATCTAGTTTGTCAAGAAGAACATTTTATAATCCATTTCAGTCTTCTTGGAGACTAAACTTTAAAAGATAGGGTCTCTTTAATCAGTCTTGGTTAGACCCAAGTTGGCCTTAAACTCAGAGATCCACCAGACTCTGCCTCTCCAGTGTTGGAACTAAAGATTATCTCACTACTCCCAGTCAGAATCTATCTCTGGTAACAATTGCTGGTCCAGCTCTTAAGAGTCCACACTAAACCTTGCTGGCTCTTTGTTATCAGCACCAAACATGTAGCTAATATACCTTAATAAGTTCTTGTTGTACAGACAGAGCACTAAACAGAATCATTCCTAAAAGCCCAGAATGCTTGACATACAGTGTGCTTGAGGAAGGTATTGCTTTCAGGGTACACATCTATATACACAGAAACCAAAACATGAGGTTTACCATTTCAACAGTAAACAATAGTCATCAGGCAAAGCACTACCGTGGATTTGTATATTCTGAATTCATCACTTGGAGGTATCAGTAGATTTAGGAATTTCAAAGTCAAGGGATAATTCTTATAATTTCCAAAAGACAAATAAGCTGTGATAGCAGCTTCAATGGGTAACTTTATTACAGGAATGAATTCCTAGCCTACGCTAGTCAGGGGTCCTCATAGGTATGCCAACTTTGAGCTTATCTCATGTGTTTCAAAAGTGGTCTCTCTTCTCTCTTTTTGGAGACATGGTCTTACTGTTTAGCTCTAGCTGGCCTGGAACTAAGAAGTCATCTTACCTCTGTCTTCTGAGTGCTGGGAATAAAGACATTTACTATTACCCAACTTAGTTTTCAGTTTGCCTAAACTTCCAGCAGTTTTCAGGTCTCTACTTTCCCAGGGCTGGAATTAAAGGCATCTGCCAATCATCAGAGCTTAAAAGCAATGATTCCTTCTCGTTTCCTATAGCCTTTATATTTTTTCAGCCTTTATATTTAATCAGCACATATTAGACAACAATATACAATGAAGCTGCTAAAGATTCTGAAGTGGTTTTAATAGTATTATTTATGAACAGTCAATTATTCTACTCAAGAACAGTCATGAGAAAAACCTGAACAAAAACAATTAGGGTTATCTATGGCTTGATTATCCAGTTATCATCAAACACGGGTAGTTCAACTCTAAAGCATATGTGTGACATCTATTCAACACATCTCTCCCCAATCCTGCCAGCCCTTTTCCAGAAATCTGCCAGTGTCTCCTAGGGAGATAGATCAGTAAACTAATAGAATGACACAATAATTTTTATTGGCTGTCTACTCGTAGTTGTCTATTACCTACCATTTTCATATATTAAAGAAATTTATTCATTATGTTAAAGCTCTCTAGGCTAAAAAAACAAAGGTCAGTATTCCAATTAAACATGGTAGCCTAGTTCCTAAAGAAGTGTCATGTATTTAAAACTAAAATCCAAGACATAACTTTTCTACAGTGCTAAAGTTTATATTAGTCTGAAAACCACTAAAACCCCCTCAAGACCAAAGTCCCCTGTCTTATTTAGGGTTGCTATTGCTATGACAAAACACTATGACCATAAAGCAAGTTGGGGAAGAAAGGGTTTATTCAGCTCACACTTCCATACTGTTCACCACTGGAAGAACTCGGGACAGGAACTCAAATAGGGCAGGATCCTGGAGGCAGAACCAGATATAGAGGCCATGGAGAGGTGCTGTTTCTTGGGTTGCTAGCATGTTTTCTTATAGAACCCAGGACCACCAGCCCAGGGATGGCACCACCCACCATGGGCTGGGCCCTCCTCCATTGATCATTAATTGAGAAAATTCGTTAGAGTTGGGTTTCATGGAGGCATTACTTCAATTGAGGTTCCTTCCTCTCTGATGACTCTATCTTTGTCAAGTTGACACACAAAACCAGCCAGTACACCCTAACTTGGCAAAATCACATGTAGATATTCCAAAGTATATTTCAAAGAGTTATAATGAGAAGCTGCAAAAAAAGGCATACAAACTTATGTCTGAGAATGGCAAAGCAACAACTCATTCTCTACCGCACTGATACTGAAGTGAACCAGTCTGACAGCTATTGAATACAAGCATCTAAGTCCATTTTCTTTTTCACTAACTGCTCTTAGAGACAGTTGGCCTGTGAGGTATTAGACTCTAGATATGCCCCCACTTTCTAGTAACCAAACCTCAAGAATTCCTAAGGTACTGGGAAGTACAAACCACTGCCAATATAAGCTTAGACACAATTATACTTGATACTGAGACTATGACTGGTATGTACCATAAAAGACTTTT